ATAAAGGAGGAAAAAGACGATTATATTACAAAGTGGTTATATAACAACAGTAGGCAAGAAAAACACAAGATCGGACAGGAATTAGCAGCAGAGTTTTTACTGCGGTTGCCATTTTTCCTTTAATTAGTATGAAAAAACTTGAACGTTGTTTAATAGATATGACCTGCTTTTGGTGTCATCAGTGCAGAAAAAATGTGGTAGATTCGAACCGTAAAGAAAGACCCAGAGGGAGAAATAAGAGGCAAAGATACATCAGGTAAAACACATGAAAATGTTTTTAAAAATAACCTTTAGCATCAAATGAAAACACACAGGCATCATACATATATCATACTTCTACAGTTTAATTAGCTGCAGAATAAATATTCACAAACCTGTTTAGAAACCAAAGGAAATAATCAAACCAGTTTTTGGAGACTTTATTGTTGACAAAATCGGGAGAGATGTCAGGGTATGTTTGGAGCATAGGACCTCTACACATGGGGTTTGGACAAGCAGAGTAAATATAGGGACCGATTTTCCATATTTGCAGGTGAATTTACCAGGAGAAACTCTTTTCAAAGATTTTCATTTTGACATTTGAATCCACACACCAGCAATGATATGGAGTCACAGGCAGGGAGCAGGTGTCAGAAAGTTGCTGAGCTGAAAAGAGACTACAGCTACAGCACAATATGATTTTTTTGAGTCAAAACTCAAAGTGATGGAGGTGTAAAGTAAACTACACAATCAAAGTTCCTTACTTTTTTCTTTTTCTTTCTTTCTTTCTTGACACTTTGGACCCAGTTATGTAGTTGTTCCACCTGCTAGTCATTTTTAAGCTTGTGGAGCCATTTGTCTGAGTTGGTTGTAGTCTGAAGTCAATATTTTGGCTAAATGTTACATCAAGAGGGCTTTATGTGTAACAAACTGGATGTTATGAGAGTCATACATTTACAATTAAAACAAAGCATCTTAAGCAACAGTTGGGCTCACATCAACTGTAACACTGGCATCTTTAATGGAATGAGCCGATTGTGTTTGAGTGAAAAAAGAAAAAGAAAAGAAAGCTTATCTCAGTGTTACAAAAGTATTGTGTATAGTCAGGATCACAAATAAAACCACTGCATTAAACAACAACCCTTCCATTTTTTTTTCTGTATTTGGGATAATGACTACATTTTGAGAACTTGGACAAG